GGCTGCAGGCAGAGCAGGGCAGACTGGCCTGTGGGTCAGGTCTGACCTGCCTTTTGTTTTTGTATAGTCTATGGGCCGAGTGTAATTTTTACTTTTTTTTTTTTTAATTTTTACATTTTTAAAGTGTTTTTTTTTTAAGAGTATGCAACAACAACTGTAGTTTGGCCCTGTACAGAAAGTTTGCAGATTGTATAGTCTATGGGCCGAGTGTAATTTTTACTTTTTTTTTTTTTTTAATTTTTACATTTTTAAAGTGTTTTTTTTTTTAAGAGTATGCAACAACAACTGTAGTTTGGCCCTGTACAGAAAGTTTGCAGATCCCTGAACCTTAAAAGGATCTTAAAAGGAGAACTCCCAATGACTTGGCTAAAGAGTTTTCTTAATTCAAACCTTCATTTCCTAGGACCAAGACTCCTGGACCTGGGGCCCAGTCAGCCCTCAGAGCCCTCGCCCGCTCAGGAATGAAGATTGGGCGAATTGGTAAGTTCTCCCCTCTAGCTAATACTTGGATTTGTTTTGAAGCATTGACTTCAAAAAGCATGTGATGTGCATGGTAGATGCACGGCCTGGCCTGGTAACTGTTGGCAGTTAGGTGGGGAGCTGCAAGAGGTACTATGTGATTTAAAATCTCTCCCTGACTGTCTATCAGCTTGATGTGAATGTCCTTCCTGTCTGCATTGAACAGCCCAGTTTCATTTCTGAATCTCTGCCCTACGCTACCTGGTGCGGGAGTTGAGAGAGTAACTGGTTAAACTGATGAATCGCTGAATTGTCCTTTCTTCCCAGTGTTTCTCAAAGGCATTGCTATTGGCATTTTGTGTGGACTGTCCTGCATTGTGGGACTCTCAACATCCTTGGTATCTGCCTACTAAATATCAGTGGAGCAGGCCAATTATGAAAACCAAAAATGAAGTCGGTGGGAAGGGGAGCAGCAACTATCATTGATAACCCTCATGTCTGTGATCCTAAATCTAAAGTTCCAACCATGTACTGCTCTAAAGACTTTTTCAGACCATTTTCAATCTCCTGAATTGTTGAAAAGGAGACAGTTGCAGTTGCAATGTTTAGGAGGGTTGTTTCCACTAGAGCATAGAATAGGTGTCAGAAACTATTTGTCCTCCGCCTGTGACATCTTGTGTGCCCTCTCAGAGCCTGTTTCCCCTTCTGGAAGGTGAGTTGAGACCGCAGGAGGAAATTTGAGAAAATAGCAGATGGGGCAGCTCCACATTCATCTGTTATGTACTGGGGACTCATTTGAGGAGCAACATGATCCACAACTGATTGGTTAAACCCCTGGCCTAGAGAGGTCCAGGGTCCTTCCCATCCAGCTCCATGCAGTGATGTTTTCTCTTCCTCCCCACAGAGGATGTCACCCCCATCCCCTCTGACAGCACCCGAAGGAAGGGAGGTCGCCGTGGTCGCCGTCTGTGAACAAGACTCAAATTACTGTTTTCTGTTAATAAATTGCCTTTGTGTAAACTATTTCAACTCTAGTCTTTTCTTTCCTTCATGTAGGGGCCACCCAGGGATATTTGATTCCTTCCTCCTGTCTTGGTTTGATCAGGGCATGGGGCTGACTTGAGGTCACAGGTGCAGTGATAAAACAGCATAGAATATATTGCTTCAGGGGATGTAGTTGACCTGTCAAACAGGAACACAAGAGGGATTGTTTCAGCCTTTGACAACTGGCTTCTTGGGAGAAGGAGCCCAAGGAGAGGTGAGATACTACTCAGTGATCTGAAGCAGAGCAAGGCTTTGGAGATCTTGTTTTGAAAGTGGAGATGTTGGTTCTAAAAGCAGACCAGTTCTTAAGGAGCTAGAGCAGAGTGGGAACTGTTGATCCAAGTGTAGCCTGAGCAGAAGAGGAGCCTTCCAGACCTGAGCCATATATAAACACGAGTGGGTGTGTATTCTCCCCCCACACCTTCTGTGCAAAATTGGTAGCTCGCTCTACTGCATCTTGCTTTTTTCACTTGGCAGATCCTGGAGGTTGTTCCACATCAGTACATAAAGTACATAAAGATTCAGTCACCCCACAAATACACACCAAGTCCT